TATTTCTCTTGCTTTTCTATGCAAATTTATGCTGGTCAACTGCTGCTGTGTAGCACGCTAAAAGGTGGACTCCGTCCATTCACCTTGATTATTTTTCAAGGGTTCGCTAGTCAGTAATGCTGGTAAAGGATGATGCCAACTGTGTTCTAACAATGGCATTCTTTTTGGTTATCCACTCTCCACATTATATTTATCACCAAACTGACCACTTCTTCTTTCGGCTTAGAAATCCTAGCTAAGCTGAATGAACAAGGGTTTAGAGTAAACTTATCCGATCCCAACGGAAGTGGATCCATCTCAATGGAATTTGATCCATTGAAATCTTCCCTGCGTTTGTCGCCTGATAAGGCTTATCTACTTATTGACGCTGTTCCATCCTCTGAGACTGAAGGGTTGCGACAACTCCTCGATCTCTCATCTCTAAGTAGTCTCACTGTCTGTCGCGTGGAAGAGAAGTATTGCCATCTTGTTGAACTTTCCAAAGACCTTGATACGCGTACTATCGCTGACACTCTATCGGACAAGGGATTTCCATCTGCCAGGATTACCCCTGTTGGCACGGATTTTGAGGTAGTCGCGGCTATATTTCTACTATCACCAACGTACAGGGTGTTGCTCATTCTCTTCTCATTTCTACAGATTTGTGTCTCCGTCTATGGTGTATGCTGTAAAGCCTGTGAGGACAAGGTTTTGGATGTCCTCAGGCACACGCTTCCCATTAACACATTCGAGGTGGCTATGGGTCATGATGAAATCATTCTAACTCTTCCTTCTTCATCAACCTCATCTACAGACTTCCTAGCAGATCTTCACTTGACCCAGATGCACAAAGTTATCACACATCTCGGCTATAGCTGTCATCTGCGTGATCCTCCGAGCATCTCTTGTCCTTCAAACTCAAACAGTTCCAGTGAGGCGCTTTTCTTTTTGGCAGGGCACTACCATTCTTGTACAGACGTCAAATGTTATTTCACTCTGTTTAAACGCCTTTGTCATTTCAGACGAGAATTGTACCGCAAATGACAAGTCGACTTCGAGGTCACCACTTGTATCTGAACAGGTTGAATTTGAAGGAATGACAACAATTGACGTTGAATCGACAAGTCATTCCCTGAAGCGTTGCCACCTACGTGTCGGAGGCATGACTTGTAGCAGTTGCGTCCAA